GCACACTTAAATACACCATTTGAAAGTTATTGTTGCATTTACAGTGAATACTGTTTAGATTATGCTATGTTGTACTGTATTATTTCACATACAGATAAAGCAGATATTTTAGTGTATTGGATTACACAGATGGTATTGCTGTGGAAAAAGGAAGGAAAAAAATTCTAAAAATTCATAGTTCTCTCAGTAGATAGTGAAGTGAGCAGCAAAAAATAAAGTGCAATTAAATGAGTTTAGGAAATCTGGATGGAACTGCCTTCCTTTATAATTCAGTTCTCAGAGTCCTTCTTGCTACACAAAAAGAAAAGTATACAGAGCTTTATGGGGATGATACATTTTCTTAGGAGATTTATGTCCATTTTAGCCACTAGAGATACTAACCTGAATGCTTTAGTGAGTAAAAATGTGCAATAGGCATGGCATACCAGGAAATGATTTGGAAAAATCTCTACACAGTTGATAATAAAAAGCTCAATATTTTTGACCATGATAAACATATGCAAACCTTTAAATCAAAGCCTCAAGGCAGTGCTTTTGCAAGGCCTAACATTCATTTGAAACTTCTAGCAGATGGCAGCACAACCTTAGCTAAAGGCCAAGCATTAGAAAATGGGGTGTTTGTATAGAGAAAAAAATGTTTCCATATATCTTGGTAGCAACTGATAGCAAAAATGGGCAGTAAAGCATTAGTGACAATTGCAAAATAAGTGTTAGCAAACATAAGTTGCAGATGTTGTTCTTGCAGTTGCATCCTTACAATGCACATCAAATCTGCAAGAGAGCCCAGGCTGGAGCTTCCCATAAAACAGAGGCAGAGAAAACAGCACAGTATGATATTGCAGTGGAAGATGCTTAATGTGCTTCAGGAAACTTAGAATCTGTTAGTGCAGATGCCTTTGAATGAGATGTAACTTTAGTTGGTTGGTTTGCTGCATACCTAGTCTTTATAGCAACTTGGAAACAGGATTTCTTATTTAATATCGTTTTTATTCAAAAAATACTAAAATCTCAAGTATCTTAAAATATCAAGTGCAGATTACTAAAGTTGATACTTTGAAGGGATTCACATGTGAAAAAATATAGAAGACAAAATTGTGCTGTTTGCCTAAGATTAGAGAAGATACAGAAATAACAAAGATGATACGAATTCAAAATATATACCACGATATTTGTAAACTAATAGAGCCTGTGATGGTTAGTACAGAATGTTTGTTACGATTCAAAACTGCTTTATCTGTTTATGCAGAAAAATAACTTACTTGATAATTACTATTCCTGCGGTCCAGAAATGATGTTATCCCATGTCATCTGCATTCACTAAATATGGTGTGTCAGATGTAGGAATGACAGATAATAGATTGAGTGAATGTAATTCTACAGAACACTGTAATTGTGGACACTTGTCTTTGAACACTGTGAATCCACCCCATAAAGGTCTGCTGAAATTTCTTCAGGAAGATGAAGATCTATGTTGAGATTTTGTTTTTCCTCTTCCTCGAGCATCTTTATTTTAAAAAAAAAAGCAGATCACTTTTGTGCACTGCTTAATGGAAGAGCATAACCAGAGCTAACGCCTGCTGAAGTGTTCTTCAGTAGGGGATTTAAGACTGACCAAATTTATAGACATTGTGGTGAAAAAAAGAGGTATGTAAACTCTTAAGGAACAGTGCAAAAATATCTCTGCAATGAAAAAATATTTCATCATCCTTTGAAAGTGGAAGTGTGTATATGAATAGTGGGTGGGGAAAAAAATAAACATGTTCTTTAAGAAATTACTTTCTGCTAGTGAGGGTACATTACTAGTGAATACAAATGGGCCTAGCTTACAGGAGACAGATTTTGCTTCTCTTGGGACAACGGAAGGAAAACCACAGTGGATTCTGAGTTTCCATTCTGAAAAACATCAGTCAATGCTTAAAACGGCATGGGAGTGAACAGAACAGTTTAGAAACTCTGAGCTGTTAGGTGTTTCAGATATCTGTCAAGCAAGGTCAACCAATTTAGAAATTGATTGCAAACAATGAGTGTATAGGCTACATGATCAATGTGGAAATTTCATTTTCTTTGGAAGAGAGAGGTGAGACCTAGTCATCTGTGACACCTAAGCTTTACTGTATTTCAGCCCAGAAGATTTTAGTTCAGACTTGGTGACTTTTTCTTCATGAATGCCAGCAAATTGTCTCAACTTAAGTTTGAATTTAGTGTTCTCATTAATTGTTATCTAAAACCATAGGATGTTATACACGAAATGAGACAGTATAGTGATATATTCCAGAACTTATTAATGTCTTATCTGTGACATCGTGTGTTACAGATATTAAACAAGGGCACTGAAGAAGAGAGTTAAAAAACTGTAGATGTGTATGGGAGGGAAGAGCTGACCAAAGCCTTTTCCTCTGGCAAGACTTTATCAGTCTTTGACTTAATCAAAGGACTACCTCTCCCTGACCTTCCCTCATAGATAGTACAGATACTTAAACCAACTGTGCATGAAAAAACTGTGCTGCTTTGTTTGCTGGAGGCATGCCACTTCACTTTTATACCACTGAATGTAATCAGAACCTGGGGCTGAAAACAAGTGGAAAGCAGACAGATTTTACAGCCAGATAGGTGAGCAATAGCCATATTCTAAAAATTCTGAATTCTGTGCAGTCTACTTTGTGTAGTCTATTTGTTTTGTTAGGAAAAAATATTATACTGCATCTTAAAACTGAACATCCTGAGGTATAACTGGAATATGATTGGAAGACACAGTCCTTTCTAGGATTATACTTTACATGTCTAAGTAGTATTTTCACAAACTGATCATCTAATCTGGTGCATTAATATTCCTACAGAATTGTCTCTGAGATTCAAAGTATAACTGCTGAGGTCACTTCAGTTCCACGCTATTTACAAAATTGGGGTTTTGCTCCTTTGCTTGTTGCAGTGGGCAGTTCCAGAGAAAAGGCATTAGTATTAGCAGATCATTGAGCAAGGGAACGAAGTAATTGGTATCACACTGGATGACTGGTGAGGCAACCTTTCTAAATGTGTCTGAGGAATGTTTTGCCTTGACACAATGAAGATCCAAAGTGACAGTCAGTAAACTGTTTAGAACTTGATTTGATTGACAAGATTTGTGGCCTTTCAAATACCACAGCAGCATGTTTGGTAATTTATGTAAGCAATGTTGGGTATCTTCAGGCACTTTTGGCATTCCTGCATCTAGATTAAGCTTTAACCACATGCAAATTTCCAATTAGATTAAAAAATAATAATTATAAAATTCAAGAAAAAAGACCAGCAGATTTCAGTGAAAATCTGAAGATGTCCTCTCACATTCATACGGTGTATTGTTTTGCAGCTACCGATAAATGTGAATTTGGAAATAACCTTTTTTCAGTTACACAGTGTTCTTCATCTGAGTCATCGTGTTCCTGATTCTCCCTATCTCTTCGTAAGGAAAGTTGAAAGTTGATGATAATTGTTTCTGTTTTACAGATATTTAGGCAAAGACAGATCAAATGCAAATATCTCTGGGGTAAAAAAAAAAGAAAGAAAGAAAGAAAGAAAACAGAAGCTGGTAGAGTCTAGTCCCAGCCACCTGACTTTAAGTATACTCGCTTACCTAGGTGATAATCTAGACACTGTGATCCAGTTTTTTTCTGGAGTTTTTATTAAGTGAAACACATGCAGTGTCTAATGGATGCCATTTTTTGCTCTCAGTGTGACTTATCCAAGTTACATAACAGATATCCAGTTTATCACAGAACTCCTCTATTGACCTATCATGGACATGTCAGGCTTTGATGACATAATTATGAATGCATGAGTGTTTGCTCTTTGCATGCCACCCTGTACCATGGCTGCATAGAATTTCATATAGTATTACATGGCTGTTTTGAAGCCTAAATGGAGAGCCCTGCTTACCTCATCTCTCTCTTATGAGAAAAATCTGAAGCTTGATGAAGCAGCCCAGAACAGTGAGGAGGAATGCTGAAATGGTTGTTAAGGAAAGTCATGGAGATTATGTGCATGTTATTTTCTACAGAGACATGTTTTAGTGGTCAGTAACACAAGTACAATTGTGTAACACAAGCAGTAATAAAAACCTTGTTTAGTTTCAACATACAGTTCCTTAGAAATATGTCAATATGAGGTAAACTAAATATATAAATATTGATATAATTGTATGTGTGAGTATAGATATTACTTCAGATTTAAATGTTCTGGTGAGTTATTTCATAGTCAATAATTACTTAGTGGCATAGTATAATAGCTCTGTTGACAGTGAACTGCTGATATTTTGCTGAATACACTGCTTTAATGAACCATACAGTACTTCATGACCTTTTTCAGTAGATAAGAAGCTGTTACAGAACTCAAAACTGTTGTTGGATCATCAGACTTTTGGAATCGATACCAAAGTGAATTATGTGTATACATATATGCAGACACACACTCACATGTAGGCCAGAATGTTTATTGGCCTATTACTAGCTGTAAATACTTGACGCAGGCTTGAGCTTCCTTATAACAGCATGAACTGTAGCATAGCTCTAGTGAGAGCTCATGTTCTTTTTTGTTATCCTAGAAACTGACATAGCATCCCTGACAAGCTATGAGGAGATCAGTTTTGGGGGCATAACTAATGCCTGAAAATATTTGGAAAATGTCTAATATTGAGTACAGGAATGAATCCAGAATTCCCCACCACTCCTTTTCTAGGCTTAAGGACCTCATTGATGGTTAAGATGTAGTAACTGTCACTTGAAGCATCCGTCTGCCTACTCATGTGTGCACATTTTATACAAGTCATAGTTTTAAAATCAATTAAGACATCTTCTAAAAAAAGGCTTGAGTAATTAAATATTAGTATCCACTGGATTTTAAAGGCAGGAGCCTGGAAACTGCAGATTCCCCCCCAAGAAGGAGATTTGACCTAACAAGGCTTGTAACAGATAATGTACTAGCTTTGCATAAAATAGCATTGAAGACTTAGGACGAAACAGGATGGAACAATGAAGATCTGAATTTTTTTTCTGCAGGCAGCCACGTATTTTCAAGACGTTTCAAGTTCGTATTCCCGTATTTTCTTGCAGTCATTGCAGATGAGCAGATAATATCCAGGTAAGCGATCTGGAGCTTGATGAAATCTTGTGAGAATGATGTGTTCTATTTACAAATAAAGAATAACATTTCAGACTTCTCCTTCAATCTTCTGAATGTCTTGAAAAAATCCAGGTCAAGAGTGAGCTGAAAAACATGACAAATAGAAAACTGGAAAGAATCATGAGTTTATCTGGGTTACAAAAGAAAATACTGTGTTAGGTGCTTGCAAACATGCAAGAAGGTGCAGACCCTCTAATAATAGTGTTACTAAGGACAAACATTTGTTGTAGTGTATACAAAGTCTGTCACTATTTGAGATACTAATTATGGCCCAGAAATCACATCGTTCAAATGAGAATTTATAGATAGCAAGCCTTATCAAAGATTAGCTCACTTTGTACTCAGTTGTTTTTACATGAAGTTTCTTCAAGTACTCCTTTAATATAGTCCTACATTTAGTCTTTTATATATACTGTGCTATGAATGAATCATATTTTCTTTACTTAATCTTTCCTTTTCACTAAATTATTAGCTTGATATTAACAGCTGTCAATGTCAAATTCTTGAATTATTATATTTCTTTTACTGAACTTGAGAGACATTTTAAATACTGTTTATTTGCATTCTGTGTATGTTTTAAGTTCTTCCATACTGACCAGTAATTTTCTGAAAACTGATTTTTCTTCTTAACACATCCTGGAATACCAGTACTGACATAAAAGTCTTACTGCAATTCTCATACTGTTGTTTATAAGGAAGTCTAGCCCATTATATGTGTTGAGCATCAGTCACTTTTCTGCTTTTTACTGCATTCTTTTCTGTGATTGGATTGGCAATGTAGTCTAAGATAAAATGCCATATTAAGATTCAGTCTTGGTGCTTAATGGTTACTTGCTTATGTTTATTTGTTTCTCTGTGTGAGATACAAAAGAAGATAAAATTGTTAGCTTCACAGATCATCACCCTAGACTTTTCTGCTACCATCTTCAATGGAGAAGAACGTTATTGCTAACTGCAGAGGTTGTTTCAATGAAGAGGATTATACTGGTTCAGTGTGTCCTTTGGATCTTCCTTGCTGACGTGCAAGGAATACATGCATATTTCTTCTCTGTACCAAACTGCACAGATATCTTTATTTTCCTGTTAAACTATTTACTTCTCTGCTTATACTTTTCTGAAATATATTCCCAGACTGCTTCTCTCCCTCCACCTGAAATTCAAACTCATCTCAGTTTTCTAGGCTTTTAGTAAAAGGCCAACATCTGCACTTTTGTGTATCACATTGTCATTTTTATTATGAATTTTTAACTACGGTACTAATAAATCAGAATTTGATTAGCTTTGCAACATGTAGACAATACCGAATACTGAGTAACAAAGGACTTAATCCTGTATTTCTGCCCTCATTTTCTCATACTTTAAGTTTTATTTTATGATATTCCTATCTGTTGGCATAGTCAAGTGAAGGTGAGAATAAACCAATGCTATCCATCGCTCTTCACCACTTGCCATATTAAAATGGCCATCCTCGTCCTTATGGATTCCTGACCCTGAAGTGATGTTTTTTGTGGTAACCACCCCTATGTTAAAAACAGGCTTTAGCCAGGTAACTTTCTTCCTCTTGATTCCTTTCTCTCTTCTTACTGTTCACTACCAAATTCTATTTTCTTGACTGGTTTTCAGTATTTAAGAACAGAAAAACATAAAGATTAAAAAAAAAAAAAAAAAAAAAAAGCCAAATCCATAACTTACACTATACTACTGCAAATATAAAGAAGGGATCCTAAGCCATCATCCCTAGCATCCTTTGTGAAATCTAAGATAGGAAGAATTTAGGAAATGTCTGCATTACTGTTCTCAAGGTTAGTGCCCCTTCTCCTCTTGCGTGCACTGAGAGACTTCTTTAAAAGGAGTCTCTGGGAATCTCTAATGCAAATGTCCTGAAAAGCAGTGCAAAGGCACTGTAGAAATAATAAGAAGTAGGACATATTAATGCACTGACACAATAGTAGCATCTTGGACCTCAAAATTCTCTTTGTATCCATGAGATCCATAAACATGTGTGAGAATATTAAGCCACCTCTTCTGTGCATCTTAGAAACTTGAGCTAACTGTTCTTGTTGCATGCTAGCATCTGTGCTGTAACTATAGGAACCAACTCTATAAATAGCCCATCCCAGTTACCTTTTTCAGAACTTCAGGGATAGCTAGTCCCCAGAATAGATAAATTACATAACTCGGCTCTCTAAACATAATAATTCCCTCTGCAAACTGTTTTTTCTTTGCACCACTGTACAACTCGTGCATCCCTCTAGCTTACATTCAGTACTCGCTGGGTCAGTTGTTCAGCTGACATAACTGTACTAATTTGAGAGAGCAGTGCTAATTCTTGACATCTGAGGACTTGGAATTTTGCTGCAGATGTTTGTTAAAGTGCATTTAAAAAGAAGAGCAGATCTGTAATGCAGATTTTAAAGTTAGTTAGGGCTAAAAGGGCCTACTTCTGTACACACCAGGCTGGATGCATTTGGCTGAGTTATGTGAGGGGTGGAAATACTCCTCTGAGTCATGCACATTTTCAAGATTGTCCTTGGACTTAATTTTATATTAGAACCTAGATAAATATTTCTTTCTCTGAAAAACAATATTATTTAAGAAGTACATTAGAGAAGATCTGCTTCTGGAGTTCTAAAAGAGGATCTGTGTACCGGTCTGGTCATTTAGTGTATTGTAAGTGGAAATGTCATGTTTGGATCAAATACTAACTCTCCAAAATTTGAAGGGTCTTCTATAATGAACTTGTATCCTGAACAGATTTGCAAGCAGAATACCACAGGAGTCTTCAATACATGCAATTTTACGTACTGCTCAGCTTAAGGAGGTGGTAGCTGTAATGTACTCCATTGCTACAGTGGCTTACTGCCTGATGTAAAGAGAGGACACTGCATTGCAATGAGGAGATCTGAAGACATACATGCTCAAATATGACCTCATCACATTAAGGATATACGTAGAGGAGTAGTATCCTTCCAGTAGGGAGCAGATACTAGCAGGGAATGTTATGATTAATGCTGAAAGAGGGCTCTTGCTCGTGGTAATTTTCATACTATCTTTGAGAGAAATCACTTTATCCATTTTACAGAGGAGCAAACAGAAATCAGAAATCTGCCTAGAACTGTAACAAATACCAGTGCCAAGTTTGTCCATTGCTGCATGTAAGTGGAGATACTTTCTTATAAGAGTGGTCCATGCTATACAACATTATCATTGCAGAAACCAAAAGCTGAGCATGTTTAGTATATGAAGTCCTGCATTCCAGAGAGCAGTGCAGATCATAGGACTGTGAGTCTTACTGCTCTGTTTATGCAGTGTTTACAAGTGATTTACTTCCTGCTTCAGTAGAGCTGCAATTTCATCTTCCTTGTATTCATCATCATTGAGGTCTTACAAAATCTGCAAGGTGTTCTTTTATATTTCTTGGATATTATTAGATTTTCACTCTATTTATGTGCCCTCCATCCTTACTTTCTTTCCATCAACCATCACGACTTTATCCCTCTCTGTTGTGGGTCTCCTGAGGTTCTTATTCCTAATTTATGATCAGTCATATGGCACGTTACTTTGCATGTTTCTGAAGGAATAGGAATACACATTGTTCTGCTTAATTTATAGCTCTTGTCTCTTGAAGCATGAAACGGAAACTTTTCACAAAAATACAAATACTGAATGGAATGGTTGTAATTTTTGGGATTTCTGGGAAGCCTCCCACTGACAGCTGTTACTGCTGGTGCCAATTCCACCTCTATGTGGTAAAACACTTTTTTGTGTTATCTCACCACACAACTATGATAATACTTTGTTGCAGGCATTTACTTATTCACTAGTCCTTCTGTGACAGTGAAGCAAGTCCTTCTGAGACAGTGAAACACAGGTGTCCCTCAGCCTGCATGGCTGCATTCTATCACATCAATATTTTGTGTTGCCTAAGAAATACCTTGCTTTTCTATTTTTGAGTACAGACCAAAAAGCAATATAAAAGGCTTTTCAATTTTTTTAATGTCAGTATTGCCCATGTAACATTCTTGAAAAAGGTTTTTGGCTACTTCTGTTTCAGTGTCATTCCTGGGTCTTGCAGTCCAGCCACCTGCTCAAAGCATTGTCAACAGTGAATTCAGACCAGGTTGCTCAGGGTTTAATCCAGTTAGGTCTTGAAAATCTGCATTCACTAAGATCACAGAAACTCTCTAGGCAGCCCATTTCTTACTTGTATTACCCTTAAAAATATACATTTTTTCCTTATACCCAGTCAGAATTTCACCTTTTTCTGTTTATAACCATTATTTCTCATGCTCTCACAGTTGTAGAAAGCCTGGCTTTCTCCTTTGGGTATCCTCTTAGGTACAAACAGGCTGTTAATAGACCCTTTTAAACCTTTTCCGAGCTGAACAAGCTCAGCTCCCTCAACTTCAAAGGCTAACTTCTTCAAGCCACTGAGCCATGTGGTGGTCCTCCTTTGGATCTGATCAACCTGAACATCATTCTTGCACTATGGGCCAAAAACTGGACACGGTATCCCAGATGCAGTTGAGTTAGCATGTGCTGAGTTACAGAGGATAATTGCTTCTCTCAGTCTGCTGCCTAAGCTGCTTTTGGTATTTTATGGTATACAGCTTTTGCTGCTGCCACAGCCTTCTGCTGAATCATTTAGCTCACTGGCCACCTGGACCTTGAGGTTTCTTTTAGCAGTATTGCTCTCTAGACAGTCAGTGCAAGGGATTGATCAATCTCAAGTATAGGACTTTGTTTATCATTGCTGAATTTCATGGAGTTCCTGTGCACTCACTCTTCTAATAAGTGATAAGTAATAAGGTTCTTCTTATTGGCAAGGCTGCCTTTGAGTTACTGACTCAGCTTTCCCGGTTGGTGTCACTGACATGCTTGCAGAATTGCACATTTTGTGTGATCTTTTAGGTCACTTGTAAAATTCTGAAACAAGACAGGGCCTTAAGTAGACCCCTGAGAAATTTCACTTGTAATTGACCTCATGTTGACCATTATCCACAGATTTTTGAGCCTGATGATCCAGTTTGTTTTTCAAGAAATCTGATCTAGGCATTTCAAATGTCATTAATTTACATAGTAAGTAGTTAAATAACTAGAGAAAGAAATATATTATGTAAAATGCTAAAGGAAGTATTTAGTTTATTTAGATTAGATTTATTTAGATTTGTTTATTTAGTTTATTTAGATTAGAAGTATTTAGTGTTTATTTAGACAATAAACAAGACCTTCAGTAGAAACAGTCTCTGTTCCTGAGGACAGTGAAGCTGTTTCAATCTTTGAAAAAGGTTGCTTGGGTGATCTGGTATATTATACAATAATAAGTTCTATTAGGTATGTTAGTGGCCCTAATAATTAAAATGGAATAAGAAAGCATTGCAAGAATAACCAATATGAACAAAAAAGGTACTTCCTCCATTCTCCTTCAGAATTATCTGAATATGTTAACAAAGTAGTAGATAGATGTATGGGAACTGCTGAATCGCAGCCTGAACCTCTGATTGATCACCTGAGGCGAGCAATGAGTCAGCCATGGGAGCACAGGTGAAGGCAGTTGACCTGTGTTGCTGGAAGGAATGGACTTCTCCTAGACCCATTTAAGAGCTGACTACCAGTAGGGAATTACCTCTTTCTGGAGTTTTACAGTGAGCCTAGGATAAGGGTAAACACTCTATCTATTTATTTTATTTTATTTTATTTTTTTTTTTTTTTTTTTTTTGGTTTAGTAACCTGCTTAACTGAACTCTCTTGTTTATTTCATAATTATAACATCTGTATATTCATTGATTACACAATAGAGAAGACAAAATGGACTTTGAATATGACCTGATTTAGTAATTCCTGTATTCCTAAAAATATCACATGCCAAAAGCTGTCATCCACTTAAGCGTTGAATTCCCTCAGGGATTTTGTCCCCTCACTTTCTGTTTCCATCAAAGAAAAATAATCTAGGTACTGTAAAAGCATTTATGTGGAAGGAAAGAGTATGTATGTGTGTCTAAATGTTTTTAAATCAGTGTGTTTTACTTCTTTTGCTATCATACTTTGCCTACCATTTGGCTTTGACAAATTTTATAGGAAATTATTAACTCTTAACAGGAGGGCTCAGCAAGAACAGGCATAGCATTCAAATTCAAAAGCTTTGGATAATTTCATGCATTTGCAGCATCTCAACAACAAGTACTTCAGTGTAATTAAAGCTATGCTATTAGTCATGAACATTTGTAATCTAGGCTAGATCTGCTGAGATGGATGTATCACAAAAAGCCTTCTTTGCCAAGCATGCATTTTCTTTGCTTTGTGTTATCATTACATCTCTACAGCCCATTGATTTCTTGGGATATATCTCTTAGAACCATGAAAAAAGAAAACCAAACCAACAAAACAAACAAAACATGACGTGGGAGGAGGTGTCATCTGAACTTATTGTGCTGTCTCAATCACACATATAAGTAGGAGCAGGGCTGTTAATACTTTTCTGGTGGTTCGGTCACAGACTGTAACACATCTGATGTTCCTGTTTTCTGACTTCTGTTGTCAGAAGAGTTCTGACAACAATTTCAAGAATTCAGTGGCTTCCTTCATTGTAAATTAGGTCGACCAAATTTTTCTAAGTGGCTCTCGTAAATAGACCGTCAGGTTTTCTTAATACTATTTATACTGTTTCTCAAGCACTGAGTCTTGTGCAAGTTTCCTCAGAAAGCCCTGCTACCAATAATTACAGCGATGTACTTGCTGAGGAAATGAGGGGGAAAAAAAGGTACACTCGGGGAAGACTCTTCTCTTCCTTGCATAGGGTGGCGTCTGTTCAAACGCTTGGTGTGGGCACGGTGCTGTGTGTACTCAATCTGTTAGCAAACCTGCCCTCTCGTGGAGAGAAGGAGAAAGCTTTCTTGGAGGAGGAGAAAGGAAAAAAAAAACAAAAACAAAACAAACAAACAAAAAAACGTGGCTGAATGATCAGCAGTACAGTGAATGTGTTTGGTCTTAATGTTGAAACCAAAAATATGTGCTGGTTCAGTCATGTAATTGCGAACGAAGTCCTTGATGTGTGTGAGAAGAAAGGAGATAAACAAAATACCTCCTCCAGAGAAAATTATCTGAACAATTCACTAAGCAAACAATACTAAGTGTGACAGAACTCTCTCATGGCTGCTCCTGTATTAACAGAAAGAAATGGGGCCAAGTTAACCCTGGAGTAATTCTGATGAAATCAGCATACTTCTAGTTATAGAAAGGGTGAATCTGGGAAGTGGCGTAGCTGATTTCTGTCATTTTAAGAGCTGGGAGATGAACTCTGACAAGTCTAGAGAGAATGCTTTAGGATGTCACCACTTACCTGTTCTGTCCTTGTCCCAGCTGGGTGTCTCTCTCACACACACTGAGCTTCATGAATCAGGAATACAGACGTTTGTAATCAGCTGCAGAGCATCAAATCTGTAGACGGAATAAATCAGCATACGACAGGCCGATGCTGCATACACAGAACTTGTAGATATTTGAGATAAAGAAGGTATAAGTAACAAATAGATGTAGTAATATCTATTCCTACAATAATTTATTCATCCAGTAGCACTTATATTAGTGTTACAAGACAGTATTACAGTCTTCACCTCCAAAGTCAAGTACCTCCAAATATCACCTTCTTATGAGAACAGACTATATCTATTAAGCTGTTCCTTATTCTTAATAATCATATGGTTTCATGGAAATTAAATTTTAGATACTTTAAAACATGTAATCAAGAACTTCTTGAAAATGCTTGTGTTTCACCTTGTTCAGACTTGGTTCTTTCATGGGTTCCAACGCGTAAGAATTAAGAACCATTGATTGATGCTAATGTAATTTTCCTGTTTAGTTCCTCTAGTGCTAAAGCAAACAAACAATAATAACCAAATACCCCAAGAGTTCCATATTTTTAACAAGAATAAAATTTTAATTTTATATCTCTTACATTGGTTTCCCTGAGAAGATCTACATATATCCTCCAGAATATAGCATCTGCTCCTTAGAATATCGGTTGTTTCAGTTATCTTCTGATATTATTAGACCTGTAATTATACTTCAGGAATGTTTTAACTGCCATCCCAGAAAATCCTTCCCTCTCCTCCAGCTTTCAAAACTAACTTTGTCATCTGTTAGACATGGAAGGAGTGGCCTCAGCTCTGTTTTGTGACGTTCTGACAAGTTAGCACTGTGCCTCTGACAGTTCAGGTACTCGCTCTGACAAAGAAGGGAGGAGCATTGCAAACTGTAAAAGGTAACTCCCAGTGCCTCCTCCGTCTCTGAAGGTGAAATTACAAAAACATTATATCTCTGTGGAAAGGGTGTTCAGATAAGTGGTGTGGTTTTTTGGGGTGTTTTTTTTTTTTTTTTTTTTTTTTTTTTTTTTAGAGGTTTCATGTAGTTTATCAGGAAGCTAAATGCCATCAATCTGTACAGAACATGTGCTATGTTTGATGCAGTAGAGGTGCTGTTTGTAGACTGCATCAATTCCAGACACAAAACTAAAAGAAAAAACATTTTATGTCTACTCAGATTTTATTCTCCTTAGTAGGAAGTTCTTTACAGAGAGAGTGGTGAGGTGCTGGAACAGCTGCCCAGAGAGGTTGTGGTTGCCCCATCCCTGGAGGTGTTCAATTGTATGGGGCCATGTGCAGCCTGGTCTAGTATTGCATGGGGAGGTTGGTGGCCCTGCATGTGGCAGGGGCTTGGAGACTCATGATCCTTGATGTCCCTTCCAACCCTGGCCGTTCTGTGATTCTGCGAAGTGCTAAAAGTACAAAGTAAAGTGTATTTTAATGGTAGAATTAAGAACTTACATATCCTGGGAAACTTCATGATGACAAAAAAAGGAAAGAGTGACACCCCAGAGAAGAAAGTAGGAGATTACAGATATATATATATATATATATATTTTCACTGAATGTTTATTAAAATGTTCTTTCAGCTCCTGTTTAACCTCTGCAACTAGTGCACCAGGTGAGGGAAATAGCTGTTTGAGATTTGTCATCCCTCTTCCTGTTTGTACTATGCACGGCCAAGTAAAGGGAACACACCTATCTCCTGGAAGAAGTTGAACAAGACCTGACAAGTGGTAAAATCAAGTGAGGGGTGGGAAAGAGGGAGGTGGAGAAAAGAACTCCTTCACTTGAGAACAAAAAGGCCTTTTGTTTTTTCTTTAGCCAATGTGAGGAAACAAAAAAGCATAATTACAGTTTTTCTGGTCACTTTTAAATATTTCTTATAGCAATTTGCCCTTAAGTAAAGTAGTAAAAGTTAAAAAGTATGGAAAAATGTAGAAGAATGGAGCTGCAGGAAGAGCGAGAAGTGGACTGTTGAAAGGGCTCTGGAATAGAGAACTGGAAAGAAGAATTCTCATAGCCATTGAGAATTGCTGTAAATATCATTGGGACTCTGCAGATTTTTATAAAGTGGACTGCATTGCCATAAAATCTTCGTGTAGGGCATGTTTGCAGAGCTAGGTGAAGATTCACATGCAATGTGGATGGGCATGTTTAGGCTATTTGTAATCCAGCTGCTTAATATAACAAGCATAATGAATGCCTGATGGCACAAGTTTTACTGTAGCATAGTGGCCCCAAAACAATCTGTTTGAAGATGTTCTTACCAACGCTAGTGCAAGTTGAGCTATCTGTAATATAGTTGGTGTGAGTAAACCTATCAGAATAAAATAACACTTTCACTGGGTAGATAGGCATAGATTAACTTGTTAATTGCAAACACTTGTACAAGAATGTTTTTTGTTTTGTTTTGTTTTAGAGTATTTGTTAATTTGGAAATGTTTTTTAAATGCATATTATATATGACTCTAAAAGCACCTAGAGTAGGATTCTGAAAGAAAGAAGTAATTACCTCAGGAACTGGTATAGTTACACTAAAACTAAATATTAACTAACAGCTATTTCATGAGGATTGTTTCATGTGTTTTAATTATATTTTAGCTTTATGCACATCTTCCAAGACAAGAGCACCTTTGTGAAAGCAGAATCTAGCAAACCTAGGATGCAGAACTGAATTCAAATGTTTTTTTTTTGTTTTTTTTTGTTTTTTTTTTTTTTTGCATGACAGAGAAATAGTTATACTCTGTGATACCACACAGCCCATTCTAAGGGATGAATCCATAACAGCAGTGCATTCTTTGGAATTATTTCTGTATCATGTGGATGCATCTGAGAGAGTTGTGAAGACAGTTGGCTCAGTGTCTATCAAGAAAGACAGAAGCACATATATATTATTTTCCACACTTCTACATATTGTAGCATCTTGTGTTTGTTTCTTAGGCAGGTTGCCTAAGATGTCTCTCAGTGAAAAATCAAAATCCCCTTTGGAGTCATAAACATCTCCAGTCTTCCCAAATACTAAGTTTGTGACACAGGATGCTTGCATTACTTCCAATTAATTTCAGTTTAGTTGCGAGGCGCTCCACAATTTCAGTGGGATTACAACTGATTTGCCCAGGCAAGAGAGCTATCAAACCTTCTAATTCCTAGCAACTCCCATTATCCCCTATCAGATCTTAACCATAAATAAATAAATACAACCCCACAAATGGTTACAATGGAAGTGAGTAGATTTTATTAAATGTGAAGTGATACCTAAATGTACTCAGATGGATGCTGATACTCCCGTATGGATTGTTGCTTAATGAAATCTTGGTGTTAACAGCTCTTTTGGACAAGTATCATGTTTTCAGCATACAGAGCTACTGTAAGCATTCTTCTGGAAAACAACAAGAAAGATTGCATCATTCTTCAGCCATGGCTGTTATTTAATGACTACACATTTTTGACAGTTTATTTTTCTGATCCTATTTTTCGCGAAAGTTGCTCAGATTTCACACCTGTTTATTCAATTTCAATAACTATAGGAGAAAAACGCTGTAATCTACAGAAATCTGAAATTATTTTTTCAAAGAGTTCTTGAACTAAATTCAGAAGGAGATTGTCAATTCATTGAATCTTGCGTGTGCTCTGCATTGTGCAGGGTGTGTGACTTGCCTCCAGATGGTGCTCTCACATTGACATTTTAGAGTTCTGTTAGTGTTACAGTTTTCATTATTCTCTCAAAATCAGCATTAGCTCTCAGATTAGCAAGAAAATAATTTGGTAGAATGCGTGCCAATGTACCATATGTTCATTACAGATAACTGATATTCCCTAGATTTTATTAGGAAACTACTTTTAGTTCTAGGAAAAAATTTTACTGAAACTGTGTAATATTTTAATACAAAGGTGGGAATTCCGTGAACCTTTAAACCGTGTAATGAGCATTATTTAAGCAATATCTTCATGGTTGAGTAATATCAGCTCCAGCGAGGTAATAAGCCAGCATTATAAACTAAAGTACAAGACAAAAGTACTAATTATTTTCCTCAAAACCTTGAAAATTGTGCTGCAACTTTGTCCGAAGGGCCTTCACTTGAGAAGCCCTTTTTCTTGTGGGGAAGTAGAAGAACCAGATACCATCACAGAAATACCAGACATCCCATTCTTGCTCTCGTGCTGGAATTGTGTCTTCAAGATTTCTACCACTACTGGGTATGCAAATGTGGTCTGTGAGTGTTGCAAACCAGTTCAGGACCCAGGGGTCACAACTCTGGCATTTTAGAGAGAAGACAATACTTTTTTTCCAGTGAATTCCAGTGTTGATTGCATGGTTTGTGTGGGTCTGTATCAGCATATTTCTGCTCAGCATTCTCCTTCACACTGGTACAAATATCACAGCAGAAGATAGAGCTGATTCACGTGTCAGTGATTTTGGACAATCTACATTGTCTTTGTGCAGGAAGCAAGTTTTTATATAGCTTGTAAATACTGTAGATTCTTCTTTTGTGTTCGTTTTCAACCCGCATCTCATTTTACTCTTGCATTTTTCTTCCCAGATGTCTCTAAATGAGGTAGAGTTCACCAGTAAGAGACTCTCTTGGTCATGATATTCTTTTCCTGTTTCTTCTGCCACAGGCAGCTCTGACACACAGGAATATTTTGATTAAGAAGAAAGTAAAGGAAGATTCCAGAGACCAGGACTGTCCTACTGGTAAATCTGAAGCTTAGGTTTACTCTTAAGAAGTGAGTAGCTTTATCTAGTTTTCGTAATAAGGTTCATCCTAAATTCTGTTTTTCTGTTCTTTCTCCTGTATTATGACAACTATATGGGATCCCTTGTCCCTTTCTGGGTGCGCACTGGCGTAAAACTTATTGCAACATACCATTCTTTATTCTTTCCCTTCCTTTTCTTGAGATGAAGCCTCTGCTCCTACAGGCTCTTCCAGTTCAAGGTAAAGTAGTTTACCTAGTTGTTCGTGATGAAGATCAAGATGTCAGATTCTTTTTTGGCAGAGTCAATATTTCCACACTTTCACACTAAGCCCAGTTAGAGAAGAAAAGAAAGCTGAAACTTGAAGATTGCAACATGAGAAATTCTAGAGAACTCTGTAGGAAGTATTGTTTCATGACCAGAATGACCTCAACAGCTTCTTTTTTTAGCTTTAGTGTGACAGTCCTTCTGAATAAAAGTACACAGAGACAGTACTTAAGAATATGTGCTTACTGTGGTTCCAATATCGGATATTTTCCTGCAAAATCTAGTCTTAGGAGTAACTTTGGTTCTCTGGGATCTACCATTAACCACTTTAAAACAGATTTTCCTTGCTCTAAGTTTTTCTGCCTGCACTAATTTAAAACACTGAATCGTTTATACATACCAAAATGGGAAAGCATTTCCAAAAAAGTCCCCCAAAAAGTTAGTGCTGCATTAAAAAGCATATGCTTCTTGTGAGTGTGTTCAACATCTCCTTACCTCAACATACACAAATCTTTTTCAGCCAGACACTTTTGCACACAACTTGGTTGACTATGCTCCAGTATTAATATTTGCTCCATTAGTAGCTTTAACATTAGAGGAGTTGTTACACTGATTGCTGTGTTCTAAGAGAAAATACAAATGGAAGGTACACATTTAGTGGAGTATTTCCAGCTTTCATAGTTTTGTCTGTAGAATTACAGATTCAATTAACCAAGAATCACTTTCCAGAAACCTTTGTCAGGAGTGAGGGATACAGACTAGATTATTTTTACTAGTAATGTTTTTAACATTACATCAAGCTGTTGCAGTGCTGTCTCTGACAATAATTTTATTGGTTGTCTTTCATAAATACTGTCCACTGTTTTCTCTGCATGAATTGCTTAAATGACAAATACTGAAAAGCTGATGCCATTTCTTCACCTGGTGCTTTCCAGAAATGCTTCTAAACCACTTTTCAGAATACTATCTCAGGGCATCCTGTAGCCTAGCTGTTCTTGTGTCTCAGGCTGGAGTTTACTGACCAGTGTGGCTTCTCTTATGTTCATTTCTGTTTTATTTACCCAACTGTTTTCTCTTTCTTTGTGTCTTCTCTGTCCTTCTATCTGCAGTGAAGAGTCACACAGACTTCATGGCATGAAAGTGTTAACAGTCTATTACATATTTCTAATCCAGCATGTAAAGGGAACAGGTAGGAGGCACAGCAGAGATGAGAGTGAAATAACATTAGGAAACGTACAGCTTTGCATGCAACCTGCATCAAAATTATGCTCTTTGCTCTAAACTGAGCCCATCTTGGAGCAAAATAATTCTAATCTATTTCTCTAGGTAGGAAAGAAAGCACAAGCCTGAAGCTCACACATACAAACCAAACAGACAGAGGCAAGTTAATTGCTTAAAGGTTTAAATTACAATAAAGAAAGAAATTTATATCTATTTAGCTTCTCACATAAGGCCATAATGCATTCATGTATAAATTTCCTGATAGAGTTTTTCCTGTATCATCTTCTTGTCTTAATTTGATAAAACCAAATGCATATACAAAATATATGCATTTATCTAGGTGAATGCTTTGTGGTTCATGCTGATGGTGGAAGTTTCTTGCACTTAACTGCTGTTAAGTAACAAGATGATTAGTCAGTGGGAAAGGAGCTGAAATGTATAAACCCTGTCAGGAGTTACAGGAACATATGTTATGACATGCAGAAACATTTTCTGAGTCATCTTTATGAATGGAAAGGCATTTCTTTTCTTTCTTCTAAGAATGTGGTTCACGATCTCCTTGAGAAAGACAACATTACGGCTCAGAATATAGCATGACTTGTACAGATATCCAGGTAGCCGTTTCACTGGATTCTATTTTCTTTTTTGCACACAGCACAGAGCATCATTCATTGTTTCAAGCATTGAGTTTTGTCATTAATAATGATGCACAATGTACAGTTTGCTCATGGATATGATTTGTAGCCTTTATGTAGGGAGCTACGTCCATAATAAGTTGTATAGATCAAAATGAATTTAAAAAATCCTGACATTCCAGCTACTTCTCTCCTTTCTGGACTAAAAAAGAAGTGCCCAGCACTGTCACTTGTTACTAGAGGAAAGCAAATGCTTTAAAAAAAACAACCCACCCTTTAGACCAGGAAAACAAACAAACAAAGAAGTACACACAGAACAGAACTAACTCAAATGTTGCAGTATCTCTACAAAAGTGTCCTTTAGATTTAAAGTCATAACAGGTAAGCAGCTCCAAAAGTAATGCATCCTATTTATTTCCACTGAAAATACAACAGGTACAAAGAGTCAAATAACACCGTTTGATGGAGCAAATTCTCAGCTACAAAACACAGTTCTTTGACACAGTCACCACCCTCTTTGTAAAAGGCAGTTAGTTCATTGGCCCGAAGACAGAAGTCAGAAGGTGCCAAATACAGACTATGTGAGGGGTGTGGTAGGACAGTCCAGTTAAGACTGGCAATGTGTTCCATGGTATTGAAAGTGATATGGGGCCTGGTGTTATGTTACAAGAAAGGTTATTTCTTCTCTGGCCAGACTCTGGAAGTTCAAGCCTTCATCTTATTCAGCACTGTAATGTAGCAGTCAGAATTGATAATTTATCCAGGTTTCAGGAAGTCCAGAAGGAATACCTCTTTCCTATCCAAAAAGACAGTGTGCATCGCTTTACTTGCTGAAGGCTGGAACTCTTTCCTCAAAAGGGAATTCACTTGTCACTACTCTGCTGTCCTGGCCTTAAGAATTAAATGCAGTCTTCTCAATATATTTCCTTGTCTCAGGCACAGCAACTGGATTAACTCTGCTTTTCTAACTATGATGCAAAGTCACTGGAGAGAGAACCATAAAACACTACAGCAGCCTGGTATTTTACAATCTCTAAGTATTGGTATCTTAGTATTTAGTTTGTGGAGTCTCACTGGAATTACACTCAGCCCATGCTACCCAATTTTATGCAGAATGTATGAGTTAATAGAATACAATCTATAGCTTTATTTATGTGTCATTCTTCTTGTAACGTCTGTTTCCCTAAGTTCTCTTTTTCTTGATGCATAGAAGAACTATTCCATCCTTTTTGTAAAGTTATCCACAATGAAATTCAGCTGTCAGTGAAACCAGTTTGCAATGTGTGCAAAACAACACGCTAACAAGGACATTGCACGTTACCTCCTAAGTATCGTAAGTACCATTTAATGAGCAGGGATGATGAGTGTGATTATGTGTACATAAAAGCACAAACACATCTATGACTACCAACTTGTTTGTATTAGCAAGTTGTGTGGCACAGTAGGAATGGATCTGTAGAGTAAACAGTTGATTCTGAGTGATTTCTGCCTGATTTCACTTTATATGTCTTGTGTGGGGGCTACTCCAGAATAACTGAAGTGCAGTGGATTGAATATCCAGTTAGCTGTTGGGGCAGCTATTAGGAAGGCTTCTAGGGTGAATTTCTAGTTTCAGGTTGCTCCACTGTATGAATGAAAGCGTGACAATTGAAGAAGATCAGATTTACTTTGTAAGTGCACGCTTAATCTGAATTAAAGCAGCTAACGTAGCTGCAGTCATCATCAAACTTGCACTGCTTCTTGAAAGAAAAGCTGAAGGCTGAGGTGAACAAGAATTGTTTTGTTCTACATTCCAGCAGGTGTAGAACGTGCTACCATGTCACGTGCTGTCAACTTTTGAGTCATGAAATTTTTCCTTCAGCTCGTTAATAAAGTAGATTTCCAAGTATTAGAAAGGTAACTGCAGAGTTCTGGTGTACATTCAGAAAACCTTGCTCGGTAGAATTCCAAAGATGCAGTTGTCCTTCTCTGTTATCCTCAGTTTGGACTCTGGAACATGATTTTGGATATGGCATGCAGGATCCCGTCTGAATTAGTTTTAATAATTTTTTTCCTTCTGACCGAAGTAACCAGCTAACTCTTATTTTCTTACATTTTTCTAAATTTTGCTGATGAATAAAGTTCTAACAACTTTACAAGCTAGATCAAATGTGTCTTAGAACTG